CCAAAAGAAACATAGGCCCAGTATAGTGACCAGGGACACTGTGCTGCAGGAGGTGCAGAACTTCAGATTAGACATTAAACTGAGTGCCCTGTCTACTTACAGTAGTTATTAAATGTCTCATGACACTGTACATTAGGAGTTTCAACCCTGGTGCAGACCTGGCTAAATTCCATGCTGGGTTTGGCCAAAAGTAGATGGCCGAGACTTACAGTTTTCCTTCTCCACCTGAGGAGATAATTAACGGAACCACTGTAGCGATAGCATAAAGTCTAAGAATAGACTACCTTTTGGTTTTACCTGCCTGTATTTAAGAAGAAATCACATTATAATTTAGATGACAAATTCACTAATTTTAACACTCACCTAAAGTGAACTTTCAAGACTGAACATCTTCCTCTAGAAAATCTCATGACACTTTAATTGGGTGTGTTGGATAAAGTAACAACTGCAACCAAAGGGTGTGAGGGTGATTCGTTAGGGCTTATGACGGTGTGCAGTCCAGCATCAAAGATCAAGGCTAGCTCTCCTTAAAAACAAGTATCCTTTGTTTGATGATGTCTCTTCATCAGTTTCCTGGACTGATGCATTATTTTGCTGATTCCTGACGTACTGTATACCAGAAATGAAAGGGAAATCCTTCCTACCTGGTTGTCATGTACTCGGCTCTGTGACCTGAGGACAGAAACAGGAAAAGTGTGAGTTCCTAGAAAACGATTGGGAAGTTCCAGCACAGGTCTCCCTGCAGGTCTCTACGGCACCGCCTGTCCATTCAGCAAAGCCTACTACCCGCCATCTGCCTTTCCTACAATTAGAGCCTGATGTACAGAGCCACCCAATGGTCAATTTTCAAAGAAACGAAATGGGGCACCTTTTAAAAATTTCACAAGCCACAAGGGTAACTCACACCATCTGCTTGGAGTACCAACACAATGCAACTTGTCAAAGTAGCCTAGCTAATGAGCATGTAAATCAACGTATTTTTTTAATATGTGATAAAAGAGGACAACCAGATGGGTGTTAGGATTAAGCAAAAGGATGTTTACATATCTGAACAGAATTGTATGATTTAGGAACATTTACTTTGGATCACTCAGAGAACTCCTTACTCTTGAGTGCCAAAAGAGGGTGACTTCAAAGTTTTGCAGGAAAGAATGGTACTCATTAAATTTGTCCTTTGCTTAAACATAATGAGACGGTAAGTATTCCTCTAGAAATGAATATCATCAGTGTAATCTGGTGTGACACACACAGAGTGCTTTTTAAAAACTGGCCAAGTGAATAATAAGGCTGAATTCTAGAAAAGCAACTTAGCGATCGTTTCACAAAGAACTCTAAAGCTGCATTAAAGATATTTCACTGAATTGTAGATCAAGGTCAACAATTTCTTAATATATCTGAAAAAGCAGCATCAAAACGTTGAAGTTTACATCCTCATATCAAGATACAGTAAAAGCGTGTTCACAAACCCCCAGAACCTAGGAAAATTAAAAAAAAAACATGCACTGAGCAGAGAAATAAAAAGTACTGTCTATTTAGGCTTTGGAGAAGTTTTCCATATCTGTGGAAGGATTCTTTCTATCATAGAAACCAACCAAGCATGCCCATGCAAAATGGAAAAAAAAAAGAGGAGCAGGGGGTCTCTTGTGGAAAACCAATTACCTTCTCCCAGTGTCCTTTTCAGTAAGTCATGCTTCGCCTGCAGCTTCGTGATGAGATTGCTTCCTTCCAGAAACTCTCTGAATTTCTGCAGAGAAGCACCGCAATCATATTTCATGGTTAAAACTGAGCGCTACAGGTCTTTGTTCAGAAAAACACAGAACAAGGGTGAAGGACAGGTGGCAAGGGGACCGTCCTACCATGAAATAGAATTGCTCCGTCTCCTGTTGGTTTGCCCTCCTCTTGGCAATGCTCGGCTTACTGAGGTACGTTTCTGATACCGTCGACTTCACCGACTCCGTTGAGCGACTGTGCTGGAAGCACTCGGACACGTCATAGTCCTCTATGGTCACCATGTCCTGAATTGTCTGAAGAGTGGCTTCGGTGGTTTTCTTGATCTTCAACGAGGCATGAGAAACACAATAATTATGGACAAGCAAAGCCTTGTGGGTTTTAACATTCAAGGGCTCTTAACAGTCAAGAGGTTTGGGGTTTCAAAAATGGTATTTTCCAGAACACCGCAATTCTACATGAACATCTCAGACCAAAACATCAAGTACGGTCATAATACAGCACTGTGGTTTCAAGACCAGTACTTCAATTTCACTACAAATCATCTTTCCAGCTAATACCTAATTATTTAAGGAACCTCAAGGCAGAGGGCATCCCTTCAATGAACAAAAGAAACACAAAACTGATAAAAGGCAACATTCAGGGCAGGAAGAGAAATGCCTAGCTGTCAAACTCCAGCAAAGCAGAGCTGTATTTTATCATGAAAACCCGAGTTCCTTTTGCTCCATATGCACTTATAAACATTTGAAATTCCAGCCTGCAAATATTTCCCCTTTTTACATATGCATAATAAATCAAACTCACCGAATGTTCATAATCGGATTTATGATAAAAGGTGATAAAAACAACGAAAGGGCATTTTTGTGAAAAATCAACAAATTGCCTGGTTTGACATTCAAATAATTGAGAGATCCAAGTTTTGAAACAGAATGCTCCTTATCTCAAGGATCAATCCAATATTTTATCACTGAGTGGGGAATGTTTCTAACTACTTGTAATACACATTGAGCAACACAGTAATAAGGTGCATTGCCAGTGTGAGAGAGTTATATTCTGACATTCACTATCCTTTACCCACTGTGAGTCTGACCAGCTATAGCAACAAATAAGCAGTACAAACTTACTGCTTCATTTTATTTTTCAAACAATCCTTGTTCACACCTAAAGCATCTGTAATTACGTGACCGAGAATTAAGAAAAAGGCAGATCTGAACAGACTGGTGTGATACTGTAAGTCTGACTCCCCGATGTGGAATAGTTGCTCATACCCAGATACACTAGAGAGGAATAAACACAGCAGAAACAATGCACTTTAAACTGCTGATTCTTATCTGCCGCGTGCAAAAATAATTATATTCCAACAAAAGGCAATTATGGAAATATGCAGGCAGCATCATGGTTAGTTGAAGACAAAACCTTGTCTGTGGGCCTTAATACAAAACCTCCAGGAGACATGTTTCTTGGAAAACTAGACATGAAAACAGACATGTTAAAAGGCAGAAATAGTATATTCCGCTCTGCTTATAACCCCTCATGATGGTCCCTCTTCTCATTACACAATTAGAGAGACAGACATATTGTATAACATGCTTTAGAAAAACTGCTAATCCATCTTAATCTGTAAAACAAATCCATTCACTATAACAACAGCCAAGAACCATCAGTTCACAGACTGCTGAGAAATAAATGTACTGTATCAGAGACAGGAGATTATCAATTCCAGTTTAGCTTCAATGATTACGGCCTTGAGCCTTAATTCTGAACACCTCCTCAGCTACCGTTCAACTGTTATCCTCCCGGCATTCCAACAGGCCCTTTAATCTCAGAAACCATTCGATTATCAGCAGGAACTGAGGAACTGTGATCAATTATCCAATTAAAAATTAAAATATGAAACTCATAATTGTGAGAAATAGAGTAATTGACACAATATTAAAAAGGGATGCACAAACTAAATCAAAAGGCAATTTTTGTTTTCAGGTGAAAGACAAACAATAGCCACCTCGTGTACTGTCCACTGACAGATGTACCTTATTTTTCAAAACCTGCAATTTATCATTGGACCACACTTAAAAGAGAACAAATTACACCATCATTTAAAACCACAAAAAGACACAAAATGAAGGGCTGGGATTCACACAGGTCAGAGGCAGTCCCCTTGAAAAAACACACAAGGGAAAGAATGTTAGGATCACTAGGAAGCTATAATGTATGGCTTAAGAGAGGCACTGCTCTGTGTTAATGTTCTGCTGGACACAAAAGAGTGGACACATAATTAATGGTGTGCCATCCCAATAGCATGTCCACTCAGAAAGAAGAATTTTGCATGAGACAGTTGATTTGAACAAAACACAATTAAAGAATTGATTAAAATCTCTGACAGCGTACCTGTGGTTGATGACACGTTTACTCTGACACAGATCTCTATGTTTGCACATTTTTTTTTTACTAGAATAATCACATGCTGATTAACTGACATTAATTCTAGCAAATACCACTGAACCCCACTCCATGAATTGCTCGTCAGTTGGACATGGCATCATGAAACATTTGAAGTGGATTTTAAACATGATAAAACATGACTGATTTATCTTCGATAATGCCAGTTATATGATCAGGCCAAAGAAATACATAATTTGAAGCATGTTGCCAGTACAGTTCAATTCAGTACAGTTGATATATAATGTATATAATGCTCCCATAATCACCCTTGGAAATAATATTTGAGAAAATGATTTCCTCATAGCAGACAAGCTGATTGCATCACAAAAAAAGTTGTTAAATGCCGCTCAACAGGAATTACACCCCTTAAAAAATAGGGTCCACAAAATAGAAAATAGATTGAGGAATTAAGAAATGCATACCAAGTCTTAGCATAGACAGAATGATAGCACAATAAACAGCCTTAGAGCCTGTTTTAAAGAGTGAAGGGAGTGAAAAACTGAATGTACCATATACTGTACTACAACCCAGATCATTAAAAAAAAGAATGCATTTCAGTCAATCAGTTTCACCGATTTCTGAAGACAGCAAGGATATTAGATCCTAGACAAAGGTCCAGGTTGGATGTGGATACCCTTCCATTAAGATTCAATCCTATTTATATACATTTGATGATGTGTGAGAATCTGACGTGGAAACAGACAGTACAAGCACTACGGAAAAGAAAGCAGTAGAGGAATGTACATAGATGAATTTTGGAATAAAGTGAAGAATTCCCAAATTAATACAAAAGGCTCATCGATATCTGTCTGTCAACGTCAATTTAGTGGATTAGGAAATGGTTCTTTCATGCAGAAATACCAGTGTTAATGTGGGATTCCCCCTGGGTGCTCTATTTTGTCCCACAGTCCAAAGAAATGCTGGAAGGTTAATTGGCTTCTGGAAAAACTGCCCCTGGTGTGAGTGTGTGTGTCCTGTGATGGACTGTCACCCCCTACAGGGTGTCTCCTGCCTTGCATCCAATGCTTCCCAGTACATTGAGACCCTGAATTGGATAAGTGGTTATTGAGAGTAATGTGACAATATACCTTACTTTGAGCTCTCTTTCACTGAACATTTTACTTTCTACTTGCAAACCACTTTTCCTTATTTTTATGTACTACAAATTTATGGCATGGCATTTATGGCATTTTCTTATTTCAGTATTTTGTGTCTAATCATCTCAACTGAATCGTTAAATGATCATTTGGAAAGCATATATGATGTGTCATTGACAATCTCTAAGACTGAATAAAGCTGGTGCATCATCGTGAGTCAATTGCCATCGTAATGTAACTAAAAATGTACCCGCTTATGCGAATAAATTGTGTTTATTAAATAACTCATTAAAATTATGAATGTACTGTAATGTACTACTGATTGTTTTGTAAGTGGCTATATTGACCTCTTGGTGTTGGAGGTCTGAAAAATAGAAAATTAGTCACGAGAAGCTCTATCAGTGCCACAGCACAAGAGTTCAAAGACACTAGATGTCACTGTAAGTTACTGGAATTTTGCTTCCATAGAGCAAAGCTCTTAAGACTTTTATGAACCAGCTTTTGAAGATGTAGAAAACAAGATAAAACCAAATCTGTCCCTTCAGGTCAGCAATATGCTGTCAATATGTTGTCAACCCACATATTATCCGTTGACCACATGATCACATAGCCAAGCTGGGTTTTAATAAATACTTCCATCGGTCAGAAAACATTCTCTTCAGTTGAAAACCTTTTAAAGCCAATCAGTCATCTCACAGGCAGGTACACCAAATGGCTGAAAAGTGTGTTTCAAAACCACAGGGAACACAATCAGCATGAATGGAGTCTGACCCGTGCTGCTTTTATTAGACCTTGAGATTTGAATAGACTGCAATTACCGGACAGCAGCACACACAGCCTCAATGTGACTTTCAATAGCTTAACTAATGCTTGTTTGGAGCTGTTATAGCCATTGAGAGGTGAAGTTGCATTATCAGATGTTTCATCTCAGTGACATATGGACTGCACTGGAAGCATATGGAGTCTGATGAGCCTATCCAGTACAAATTCACTAAGAAGGAGCTGTCATGGTACAGTATATAAATGCAAACAATGATTCTGATACTCAAGGACTGACAATGGAAGGATAGAAGAACTACTAAGTTCTGGTAGGTTCTAGTCTTTCTCGGCAGCTGAATTTGGGATTAAGCAGCCCTCTCCAGGATCCTCTCGGACCAATCCACACAGCAGGGGACTGTTCTGAACACACTCTGCCACACCGTTTCCTGATTGGATACTTGCCTCCAGTGGGATCACCTTAAGTGCCCAAAACAGCAAAAGTCACAAAACCAATTTTTATTCCAGGAACCTCAGGACCCTTGTGGACAACCCCCAACAACGAATGCCCAAAGTGCTGTATGAAAACAAGACACTACAATAGGAACAGAAATCCTGCACCTAACCGTAGAATATTTCCAAAAGTAAATTGCCTTTAAGCAAATTAAGTAAATTTATTTATCAGCGCTCCTACCCTGCTGTAAAACAAACCAAAGCTACAGCATGATAATCAAAGAGAACAGTATGCTGCATTCCTCTCGGAAACTTTAAATCTTATATAACAGAACACTAGTGAAAGCTTTCTAAAGTAAAAAAAAAGGCAAAAAATGGAAAACATTTCATGGATGAACTTAATCTCAGTCCTTCCATTTGATAGTGCATTCTGTTCAATGTGTATGCCTGCCTTAGATATGTTGTGTGCATCTTATGCTTGCAGGTTATGCCCTATGGCCAAGACATATGTTTAACGGCCATGTCATTGGCTGACTGCGACATGGATACTACAAGAGACGACATACAATAGGCAGAGCACTGCTGAAGGCAGGGTTAGGATTGATAGTCTACAGTTCTCGCTTGTGAGGTGCCTTTTTGCCTTTAGTGATGTGCTATTCCTCCAATCCCCTCTAAGGCGCTGGGGAATTTGGAGCATGTCAAAACAGAAAAGCCAAGAATGCTAACCACCATGCCACCACGTCTCCCCAATATCTCACACATCCACATTAAATAAGACTTAAGTGCGGACATCCATAGAAACAGAGATTTACTTGCCAAGTTCCTTTATTAGAATGCAAAAGTAAATAAGATGAAAGAATGTCAGAGAACACAATTTAAAAGTTAACGGGACAAAAACATAATCCACACTTAAATCTTCCAGTTTTACGATCAGCCTCTGTGGTGCCATGAGCACATTTGGAGCGCATCTGCTTTGGATCAATTGTTTCAGATGTACAGTAAATATTGAGGATTCTACAGCACCTACAGTATATGTTGCTTTTATTTCTACACATTTCCAGCAGCTAGTGACAGTATTTTGTTTCATTTGGCTTTTTCAAGGCAACCTCTGAGGAACAGCACAGGTGACTGTGACACCCCTGGGGTTTAATTACAAAATGGCAGCACCGTCGCAAGAACACGTAGCTTCTATGGGACACGGGAACCACAGTCATAGACAGAGGTGCTAAACACTACACTTTCTTCATCTGGGAAATACGCCACTGATTAAAGAACCAAGGGCCCTGCCAGACCCAGTGTCAGTATTCTCAATGGGAACTCTCTAGTCTAAAAACTCTCCGGTCTGTAGGCAGTAGGAGCGAGCTTGTCATCCCATTACTGTTGTGCGGACAAAAACGCTTGGAGCAAAAAGCTGTTAGAGCATCATATATTATTCAGGAAAATAGTGGTTACTAGTGTTGGTTGCTACAGTATATACAATTACAAAGGCATTCTTGATGCTCAGTTATGTGCCTCGAGGCCACAAGACCATGGGTTCACATCTGTGGTATGTAAACAAATGTAGAATAATCTCAGTGCAGTAGGTACATGATAATGGTCACTTGTATTATGATTTGTCTGGAGTTTTACGGCAAGAAATTTTAGAAAAGGGGGAGGCACAGTGGTTAACAATGCTGTGTCACCCAGCAGACCAGACCTGGGTTGCTGTCTGCATGGAGATTAAATGTCCTCGGCCTGTTTCCATGGGTTTCTTCGAGTGCTCCCACAGTCCAAGGACGTACTGGTAAACATACTGCAATTTCAAAACGATCTAAATCTCACACCAAGCAAGGCAGTTTTAAAGAGCAAAGGACTTAATGAGAAAAAGCAAGCATGGCCACATTTAAAATGATACAAAACGCTAAGTTGGTCAAATGTATTAGCGCTTGACAACGCTTTGAATTATTTATTCTTTTACATCCAACAACCATGACAAGCATCCAATGGTTTTTCTGTATACAGGATCAGTTTACCCAACTAACGTGAATTTAAACTCACAAAATCGTTTTTTTTGTGAGCAGACGCCACATTCCAAGGGAAGATGAAATTGCAGAAATAAACAAAAGCAGCAGTAGAAAATCACGAAGCGATCAGACAGAAAGGCTGTTCAAGCTACGCCTAGAAGCACAGAGGCAGCTAGTTCATTAAATTTAACTGCAAGCTACCACCCAGGCACAGGACGGTACGAGTCAACAGGACCACCTAAGGAACCACTTCTGCAGAGTAACAGCAGTGGCTGATGAGACCACTAGGCATCATGAAAGATTAATGGAGATCACTGGGAGCCCTGATATTGCGATCATCCAAAATAAGTATGACTGGGCTACAAGAGTGCAGATCACCCATCGATATACCTGACAGCACCCCTGGGAACTGAACAAAGGCTGTTTTTCTCTGGATGAATTTTAGTTATCTGTCTCATTTGACAGCATGTGTACACAGGAGAACCTATGAAGAATTGCCTGTATGTAGGGAAAAATAAAGGAAAAAGTGCACCTACACTGGCGGGGCTGCTGCGCTGTACTAAATGTTAATGTGAATGACTAGAAAATACTAAAATCACTACACTATTTACCCTACATACCTAATAGAGGAAAACCTAAATATCTTTAGGCTGTTTTTATGCTTTTTATGCCTATGTTTGAGCTAAAGGAGGTCACATCTGGTAGAGGTTCAGGTGGGTAGCTGCGTCAGCATGCGTAGGCTGGTTGACACCTGAAGAAGGCTCCACGGCCGAAATGTTGTGTTCTCTTTCTTCTTCTTTTTTTCAGCATGGAATAAACCTATTACTTGTTCCTTCACATCTGGTAGAGATCACTTAAGAAGTGAAAACTTTACTTGATCTGAATACTGCATGTAAGATAAGATAAGATCACTTTATTGGCCATATACAATTTCTTGCTTTAGGAATTTGTCTTTTTCCATAACCCAGCTGGCTCTCCATGAGACACACAGACAGGGAGAGAGAAGCTTGAGTCAGAGTGCAGGGTCAGCCATTGTACAGCACCCCTGGAGCAGTTGGGGTTAAGGGCCTTGCTCAGGGGCCCAGCGGAGTAGGATTCCTCTGACGGCCATGGGATACAAACCGGCAACATTCCAGCCACAGGCGCAGATCCTTAGCCACAGAGTCACTGCACCGCCTCTACTCACACCGTGCAATATTTTTTAACTCTGTCAGAAACCTGAAATAACATCTCATGAATCTTGGAGGGCATCTGAAAAGCGATTTCAGTAAACATCATTCCAAAAAGTAAAGATGAGCAGATTTTTTTCATTTAGAACAACGTGGCTTTTAATACACTCATCATCCAAAAACAAAAAGTGAAATTTGTACGTTTCTGCAATTAAAGGATTTACTGCAAACAGATTTCAAGACAGAAGAAACGGAAAATAAATCATAATGCTGGACCTTCAAAGACCAGCGAATGTGCTTTACAGATGACTAGAGCACTCCTCAATCAGTGAGATCTGCTTTTTCAAGAGGAGTACAAGATGGCATGCAGATTCCAAGACATGTAACAAATGTTTTGCTTGCTGACCTTTATGTTCTAGCAGATCGCAAGGCTTCGTAAAAAGTGGAAAGATAAAGAAACTGGAAGAAGTTCAGATTTTCAAACTAAAATCCAAAAGTTAGAGCAGATTAAGCCTGGATAAATTCAACAGAACTCCAGGGAGACAAAATCATTTCTTTCTATTTCTTCCTCTACTGGTCGACATCATATTAAAAACGTAATAGCGGATGGGCTTCATATTACAGTATATATGAAAATATGATAAAAAATAAATCACTAGACATTCAAGGCAAAATGTACTAGCTGATAGGGCAGCGACAGTACTAGTTTTAGCAAATTGCAGCTTCTTCACCTTGACAACGTCAAAGATCTCAGTATGGTGCTGAGAGTAATTAAAAGCTGTGCTCTGGACGATTAGTACCAAGAAGGTAATCTCAGAACAACGTCAGACAAGACAACAATTACAGTAAATTCAAAACTGAAAATCCATGCTGGCAAGGAAATAACCATGCTGCACAAATTACCCTTTTTAACAGAAGTACAGAAGATTTCAATTGACAGTTTTCCCAACTGTAAGGTAAAGCACTGGGTCAGGAGACAAATCCAGAGAAAACAATTCCCAATAAAGAATCCCAGTATGACAACAAGCTGGCCTGCACACAATTAGCATGGAGTTACATACAGTAAGTAATTAAAAGCTGATGTTAAAACAAAAACACTGGTCAACATAATAACGGCTTCAATCCAATGTTTAGTGCAAACACAGCTGAAGTCATCAGGCAGTCTATTTGTTCAAACAAATCCCTGTTTCACACAGTTTCAGTCAAACTCCACTGAACATTCTCCCACCAGGATCATCTTTGTTTCAAGTGATTTTAAGCCAAATGGAATCACTGCGGCATTCACAGATTATAGGAGCAAACCCATATTAAAGAGGAACTGCAGTCTCAATTCCTCAGACTGGTTATTAAATCTCGGTAACAAAATACATTCATGGACATGACAGAAAAAAATAAATTACAAAAATTTGAATTAACCACAAAACCTTTGGTATATTTTGAGAAAGTACTGAATGCCGCCATGGTGTCACAAGCCTGCATTCGAGTTCGCGGCCCTTCCTACTCACTAGTCACTGTGGTGACTGATGTACTGTGATGGACGAGCGAATAAGTACAGGTAGTGTGGCAGACATTTCACCGCAGAAATGTTCCAACTTGATCTGCCTGCAGAGTTAACAGGTAAGTTCCATTTATCAGCTATTAAAACCACCTCAGAAATCGAGAGCAATATTCCTACTGGATTAAAAGAGATGTACTCACAAGCCTGCTTGTTTACAATGTCATAGGGCCGTTTTTGCTCAGTGGACATTTTGTTGCCTCGTTTTTAAATCGCAGGACATGGCACTGCACATATCTGGAAATTTTGTGTATTTTCTGAACTTAGTTTTCTAAATTACCGTGTACATATTACTTTTACTGTGGTTTGAAATGTACTCATCAATGCTGATTTTTTCTAACCTCAAAATATGAAAATAGCTTTGCAGCTCCCCTTTGAAACACAAGCAAATGGAATGCCAAACAGGGAAAAGTGTCTTTTTCTTTTCCTGAAGGCATCAGTCGGGGCTTGCTGATACAGTACGCCCGATGAAAGAGCACACAAGCTCGGAGGGCTCGTCTGTTGCGTCTTACCTCTTCATTCTCGATTTTAAGTGTCGTCAGGCGGGACTGCAACTGCTGGAACCGCAACATGAGCTCTGCTTGGACAGGTGGCTGGGCAGTGATCTGACACACCTGACAGGATAAGAGGGGGGCACTCTTTTACAAAGGTGAGCTTTTACCTGTAGCGGATTTTCATCTACTTTCATCCCTGTAAATACAAGTACAATCTGAAGAACAACTACAGACTACAACTACAGCTTTACAAAATAATCCAAGTACATTAAAACTTCAAAATACAGTAGTAGATCACAATACAGTACGAATACCAATGACTCAGAACACCAAGAATCAGTATCTGCATAAAAAAGGTCTTCTTATAACTACATTTTAATAACTTACCTTTAATAATCTAATTTCAAAATCATATATTCCGCTCTCACTACCCACTCTGCCAACATTACAATAACTTTTTCAAAAATGAATTGAAAAAAATACAGTAGATTGACAAGTCTCCCTTATCACTGATACCAACCATTAGATGAGAACACACAGAATATTTATATTCATAGACTCAGAAATTACTTCCCATCAGCTGTCAAATCTATCATGGACTGTCCAGGTTAAACAATTCAATCTTCTTTCCATACCAAGACCAACTGATTGCAACTGTCAAGATGTCACCTTAATAAAAAGCTCAACAAAAACTGCAGTGTTGCTGTGAACATCAATGCTTGTTGGTGCTGCTAGAAATCATGGGAAAGAGCAAACAACAGAGAAGGAGGCAAGACTAAAACAGTGGGGCTAAAGACTGCTCTCAGGGACTATGGTATCTATCTATACAACAACAGAGTGCAGTATGATGTGCAGGACAGAGTCTCTTATACTGTATTCCTTTTAATCTAATAACCCACTGCAGTAGCAGGTACAGGACAAAGCTGCTTAGATTCCAATAAACCATTACAGTATGATATACAGTACAGAGCTCTTTATATTCTAAAACCTAATGCAGTACAAGGTATAAGACAGAGTACGTTATATTCCTTATATTCTAATAACTCACTGAAGTATGAGGCAGAGGACAGAGTTCTTTATATTCTAATAAACCACTAAAGTAGGAGGTACAGAACAGAGTCCCTTATATTCTAGAACCTAATGCAGCACAAGGCACAGGACAAAGTTCCTTACATTTGACACTGAACTGACCTCATCCCCCATGTGGGACTGGAACTCAAACTTGACAGGAGGGCAAAAGGCAGTGGGGTACATTTCCATGAACCTCTGCCTGTCGCTGCGCGGGTCCAGGCTGTCCACAGCGTTCTCAATGATGTCCAGACCCTCGTGCCGTGAAGTCTCTAAGTTGTATTCAGCAGAGAGATAGGTCCGTAGCGCCCGATTCAGACTGGCATGGTACCCCAAATCACAGCACTAGACATAAAGAAGGAAAGAATCATCATCTTCAGAGAATCCTTTTTAAAATAAAGTTTAATCCACAACAAGACATTGAACCACAAGATACTGAATTTAAAATGAATAGGGTTTATAATTGGGAGCTGACTAACCAATTCAAACAGAACTGATATCATATGTTTGGCATTACTATAAATGATAAGTGAAATCTAGGTTAAGCAGATTATAACATCAGCGATGTACTTTATTAGGAAAACTCTGAGGTGGAGGGATAGTACTAACAGTTCTTTAAACAAAGGGTGCATCATTAGCAAGCATTTATAACACAGGCGCCTATGATTTCCTTGCATCTACTTGTGTTTTGAAGCGACTCCACCTGCCTAATTAACTGATTCCAGGAGCCTGGGAGATATCTTGTCAAAGAGCTTAGTCAAATGGTGGTGCAACATACTGTATACACCCAAAATATACTGTATGCAACACAGATATTATTGAAGCTGCCAACCAGTTAGCTTTCTGCTTCCCCACATTTCAGTGTATGATGAGAGGTCACACATTGTCAGCAGCCCACCAGAGCATATAATAAAATACCAGATAACCCTGGCAACTAAAATAAACACATAGCTGATGTCTTACAAAAGCTTTGAAGAAAAGATGAAATTTCAAGCACAGCTAGGTCAAATTCAATTCTCCTTCAGCAATATCAACCTTTAGTTAAGCCTTTATGGGAATACAGAAACCACAAAAGGCAAGCGCATTGTGCCTTTTTCAGGTTTCCCTAGTAACACTACAAAATAGAACATTATTCCATGTGAAAGCAGTGCCGCAGGTAGCTCTTAGAAATAAATGTGTTTTTCAAGAATCCAGGGCACCCAGATCATCATGCTGGGGTTTACAGTTTACTCTGTTCGATGCGTTATGGGCAGACTGCAACAAACCACATGCAAACCCGGTCACCAGACAATGGACAACTGAGACAGAACCTGCTTGTCTTAGTGTACGTGCCATTGAAAACCCCTCTGTAGAATGTACCTTCAGTAGATGCTGGCCTGCAAGAGATTTTAATGAACGTGTGCCTTCCTCCAGCAAATCTGTGCAAAATCATACCTAGCAAAAGCACACCAAAGCATAAAGCGCTGCACTCCTACAAGACACATTTGAAATTCTATCCCGTGGCAGAGTACTTAAAAAGTGCAACCAACTAACTCATACACCAGATCCACTTGCAAGAACATGTCTTCTCTATACTAAACCTCTCACTGTTGCCAAGATGTAATCTCCAGTCAGCATTTTCAATTTGCTGCAACAACGTCACAGACTACCAGACTAATCTTTATGTGGAAACAGCACAAAGCACGCAAAATCTCAGATTCTGAATTCTGTTCATTTCAGACTTTAAAGAAATTCCAAGGCAAACGTCTTGAAAACGGAGATCGTATTTTCTACAGTAAATATAGTGCTTCACTGTATAGAGAAGGGGTCTGCAAAAACATTGTCTGTGCTTGTTCAAAAAATTCCTGTTTTAATTATGATGTCTACCAACACATTTCTCTTCCACTTACTTACCCGTGTGCACCTGCGTGTTTCTCAACACCAAGTTTGCCTTGGGTGATTATTGCAACTTTGCTGATCATTGCAATTTTCTAATCAAAACAAACTCAATTTCATAATCACACAAGTCCAAAGTTCCCTTGACCTAACCCGCCTGCCACTGGGGCAGGAAACAGTACTCTGATGAGGAACAAGAAGGATGGGACTATTCCACTCAGATAATGGCAGGCAGGCGCTGCCTGAGGAGTCTGCTGAAGTTACAGTCAGGATCAGAGGGAAGCATATGAAGTTCCTGCTAATGGCCTGCTGGCCACTATGAAGCACAATATGAATCTACCGGTCTATACAGGAAACAGCTGGCTAGTTCATATTCTCTTGGTGGAGTAAACTGACTCTATAATAGAGAATCTGGAGGAGAAACAGCCTACTGTCGTCTGGCCAACAATGTGGTTAGAGCAATTAAGTCTGTATTTTGAAATGATTTTTCTGCTTTAGATGTACAGTGGCCTGCCAGGTAGACTAACGTGAATCCGAAGAACAATATGTATTCCATCCATCTATCCAACCGCTTACTGCGGTGGTAAGAGACTGAGCAGGGCAGACTTCCAGACTTCCCTTTCCCCATAAACAGTCTCCAGCTCCTCCTGTGGGACTCCCAGGGCGTCCCCAGGCCAGCCCTAGAGTCTCTCCCCAGTGGGCTGTACCGAATACACTTCCAGCTGGAGGCTCCCAGGAATCATCCTCACTGGATCTCCGGACCACCATAACTGGCTCCTCTTGATCTGGAGGAGCAGGAATTCTGCCCCAAGGTCGTCCCAGATTGCCGAGCTCCTCGACTTGTCATGGACAGTAAGGGGGAAACCCAGCAGCCCTACTTAATTTTAATTTCTGCCTCGCACCCGTGATCTCATTCTTTCGGCCACTACCCACAGCCTGTGACCATAGGTGAGGATGGAAAGGGCAGACCAGACTTCCCTTTCCCCAATCCCCATAAAAATGAATTCTGTTCCCCATGGTCACGGTCCTCTCCTGGAAAAGAATGGCTTTCTCTCTCCACCTAAGGGGGTCACGGCTGCCCCAAGTGGAGGAGTTGAAGTGCCTTGGGGTCTTGTTCACGAGTTGAGAGTAGACCGGATCGACCGGAAAGATCCGGAGAGTTCCGGATCGACCGGAAAACTGAGAGCTTCGTCTGAAAAACTCAGCTCCCGCTTCAACACCATGGTTCGGTACAGAGTCCGCATTCCTGCAGCCACTGCACCAATCCACTGGTCAATCTCACACATGCTCTATCCTCAACTTGTGAACAAGACCCCAAGTTACTTAAACTCCTCCCCTCGGGGCAACTGTTCCCCCCTCAACTGAAGAGAGAAAGTCACTCTATTCCAGGAGAGATCCATGACCTCAGATTTGCAGGTGGCGTCACACTCGGTATCCCAGAGTTCACTTTTATGGGGATGGGAGCGGCTGTTGAATTCTGAATTAGGTAGTGATCTGAATGGTTGCATACTAATGCAATGGTGTACTTTCATCAGTTAGTGAAAACAAGATGACACTTTAGTAATACACCAGTGCTTCTATTTCAAAACTCTGCCAATGGTTTCATTATAAAAGCGTATTGTCAAATATTTTGTTATGCATGTCTCCCCAGCTCTGGTCCCTGAATACTGTAGACTTTCTCTTTTCATTCATATCTCCTAAATTAAATTACTTAAATTTAATTTAACTGATTTCCCAGGTTTAAACCGAATAATGCCTTAAAGTGACCTACAAATGTTGCAAAGCAAGGTAAAAAACATGTAGGCTCTTACAAACCAGGTATCAGAAAAGCGCAAAGCCATTCTACTGCTTTAAAAAAAAAAAAAACTCGAGAATAATCAGATGCCAAACTAATTAATGCTGCTTTCACACTGTCTTTCCATCTGCAAATGTGTATTGAGGAAGCTGATTGAAAAAATGAATTTTAATGCTGCTATTGCTGGCTGTGACTTCTGGTAGACATAACGCTCATTAACTTTCTCTTTTAAACTGTTTCAAAGCACGACAAGTAAAAAAAAAAATGTCTCAAGGTAAAACTACGAGGATATGCTGTTTGATGATGTACAGTAATTCCAGCACAGTACAGTGCTCTATGTTCTAAAACTACCAACCAGCAACATGAAGTGATTAGGCAAAAAAAAGGCAAAACTAAATGAAAAAGCGCCTTGCATGTTTGACGTTAAAGCCCATCATACTGATTTCTATGAACTTATGAGAAATAAGGGACACAACCTCAAATCCTCTTTAAACATGAAATATTATAAGAGCTCTATAATGGCAGTATGGTGGCACAGTAGCTAGTATTGCTACCTCGCTGTGCTGGGGCCCAGGTTTCAATTCCGGACCTGGGGTGCTATCCGTGTTCGTGTGGGTTTCCTGTGGTGCTCTGCTTTCCTCCCACAGTCCAGGTTAAGTGGCTTCTGGGAAAACTGACCCTGGTGTGACCGTGTGCCTGTCTGTGTCTGTGTGCCCCTGGGATGGACTGGAGTCCTGACCAGAGTGTATCCTGCCTTGCGCTCCCTTGCTTGCCAAGATAGACCCCAGCTCCCCACGACCCTGAATTCTAGGTGCTATCAGAAAATGGACGGATGAACTAGCTCTATTATATTTAGTTTTAGAATCACACAGGTAGGCGTGACACTCCGGATGACATGGTGTTCTGAAGACTCTGTGTATTTAGAGTATTTATGGCACGAGGCAGAAATCAACTCACTACACTCCAATAGAAATGATTTAATAATTTAGGTTTTTAGAATATTTTTACAGATGTACTGTATAATTTATATCTACTATGGCAACTCACTAATCCGAGTGAGTCATTCAGGCTGCATTAATCATTTAGTGAAGTATTGTAGTAAAAAGATCTTGAGTAGTTCCTACTTTGAAGCAGTATGTGGAGCCAACTTTCAAAGCAAAAACCTTAGGGCGAAGATTTCCATACCTGCCAATAACCTACAGTAAGTTACTGTATTCTCTCTCTTTGTACTCAATTTACAGTCTCATATGACACTTTTTAAGTAAAGAAAGGGAATAAAGCCAGGTTCATCTTAAAAGAGAAAATAGTTCTTTAAGGGAGTATCCAATGACTCATCTAAGCCTGGCCAGAGAAGGATAATACTATATTTTAACAGTAACTGGTATATCCTTCGGCAAGGACTCTTTCCATTAAATGCCAAGTGCTGTATAAAGGACTGCTGAATACTTTAACCTATCAATTGGTACTGGGGTGGGGTGCAGATAAACTTATAGATGAGAATACCCAGCTAATATAATTGCAAAAAAACACATTATCCCTTACTCAAATGTGAACAGATCAGTCTAAGAACAGTAAGAATCAATACTCATTACATTTTCTTTACTTAAGGAGCACCTAAACAGTTTTAATCTTAAAAATGTTCTAAAGAGCATAGGAGGATCAATAACATCTGATACATGCATAGGGCCTGACACAGTTCTGATACAATCGTATTTAAAAAAAAAGAAGTTTTTTTCATGATACCCATTCTGATAAAATGGAATGTCAATAAAAGTAGAAAAACTATCACGAAGTTAAAACACTATAATTACAAAATGCTAAAAGACATCCATCCACCTCTAGAGTGGGAAACATAACTGGTAATACTTTTTTGATACTGGAGTAAATGTTCTCAAAACATCCTTCACATAATGAAGCTGGACTTATGATTTGCGAGTGCTGATACTACGCAGAAGAGTATAACAATAAAACATTCTGAGAAGGTCATGAGCTCTTTCATTGGGAAAATGTTTCTTTTTCTGAAACGTTAGAAAAAGAAAACCCTGAAGTCTATTTTGGTACAATTCATTTGCACTCTTCAGTTTATTCCAACTATTTACTAAAAATAAATCAGCAAGAGGGCTTCCAATACTTACATCAATTAAATCAGACAGATCGTGAATATAATATTTGAAAACTGAAGAGTTTGTCGCTTCCAGAGTCAGGAGGTATTCATTCCGTGCTTTGATAGATTTCAGCTTGTTTTCGGAGTACTTGGCTTGTCGCTGACAAAAACAAAAAGACATAAATGACCATTAAACCATTAAAAAAGACCTTTAATGACATCTGAATCTGGTTTTTGTCCGATAACAATAGACTTTTATTGAAATGATAAAACCATTTTATGAGTTTCCTATATAAAAACCTGATAAATATGTGGCAATCCAACTTGTTCCTTAATCAGGGCCCAGAAAGGTTTTCATTTTTCTTGATTTTCAAGAAGGAAAGAATGTAATTGTTTCTAGCTGTCTAGAAATCAAAGTTCACTTTTACTATCATGAAGCAAGACTCCTACCTGAGCATTTGAAATTCTGAACAGATTTCCCACACAGGGTTCCAACATTCAGCATGTCAGGAAAAGAGTATACAAGGAACACCATATAGTAGTTTATTTCTTTTACATGGAAATACACCAGACTAGTGATAAATATCATAGGGAATTATCCACACTGTGTCAAAGAAACTGCATGAATCTGACAAATGCTTACAAATGGTTGGAAAGCCTAAAAAATGGACTGAAAATGTAGGTACATTTACATTTAGGTACATTTTTCAATGCCTCCCAATATCAAATGAGTGCAAAATCTGATACTGGATAACTGGAAATTAGGAAAAGAACATAATCCATCTCACACTGTCTTATTAAGCCATATGAAATGAACCTAACTTTGGCTGAAGTCAAGAGTTTATGGTTTGACAGTGCTTATTTAATAATGGTTTTAGCAACAATTGAAATGACAAAAAAAATGACAAAAGGTCTTCAAAAAGTCATCAAAATGTAACACTCATTACTCTCCTATCTATATATATATCCTGAATTTCACTAGAGAATGTTTCAAACTCTTCTTAAAAGTATTTCAAAATTAAACTCTCAGTAGTATATCTGGTGACTTTAAAATGGAGCTTGATTTAATGTAAGACTTCTTACATGACTTATTACTTCTCACTTCTCAAGTTTAAATTGTTATCATGACTGGTGTTCTTAAATTCACCAATCATGCAATGTTGCAAGAAACCGGTTTAGCTGATTATTACTATCTCAATCTGTACTGTATAGGCTATGACATGAACTGAAAGAATTCTCTGGTGCACGAAAAGCACAACATACAGGAAGACAAGACAAATGTATTTCTATGCAGGGGATTATGCTGAATAATGGTTTGCTTATATCATTACTATTATTATTATTATTAATTATTATTTCAGATGGCCTATGCTATTATACTTATCGAAATATCCCTGTATTGTTTTAAAACAGGATTAAGTGAGAAATCACAGCTAAATCAGATTATTAAGTACTATTGTCAATATACTAGATCAGATCAAATTGTGAAGATCCTCAAGACTTGTAAATATGTCACTCAGAGAAACATAAGTATCTTGGTACTGGAATAAAGTTAGAGTGAGCTGGGCTACACACGGATGTCTGATGTTTTACTGGCCACTGGAAAAAAAAAACTGTCTCAAACAAACATCTCTTAGGTTAACGCACTGTTGTTCCCTTTTTTGGTTCTGCATGGCTTTATGGTGGTTCAGCATGGGGAGGCAAATGATAATAGGAGTTCTGAGAACACAAGTCATCCCCTAACACTCATTTCTCCTCAGGAGGAAAGGTCTCTCTTCCAGGATGCTGGAATAGACTAGCCAGTCTTTTAGCAACTTCCTCCTTCCCCGACGATCAAAACAGCATTAGTCACTGCCAAGAAAGCCATTCTCTTTAGTCATTTCTTTACAGCGAGATCTAAAAATGTAGAATGACCAATGACTCATGCTGCTGATCCATACTTTAAGTGTTCTGCTCTACCATTGTTCGGAAAGTGTGTAAGGCAGTTTGATGACATGAATCCTCCATCATTCTGTGAAACAAACTAACAAAAGGGGGCCGCCGAAGAAACTGGTCAAGTTAGGCCCCAGTGGAACTGCACTTTGTCTTAATGTGAGGCGAAGCTTCCTACTTTCTCCTTCATCTTCTCGATTTTCTTGACAGAGCTGCGTCTCTGGTGCTTCTCCTCCATGCGGATGCTGAAGACAGGGTCTCCCGATCGCCCGATTTGCTTTCCCTCCTGTTTCTCCGCCTCCTTCAGCTTGCACTCGGCACTGATGCTCTCGGTGTGGTACATGTGGTACGTCTTCATGACCTGCGTGCAGGGAAGACGAGTCACATATTACACCACAGTAAGACTTGGGCACGGGATACATCACACTCCCTGTCAGCTAACCAAGATATACAGCCCCTGCAGAGGACAGAGCATATGACGACGAAAACAACAACACCAAGAGGAGGAAGAGGAAGAACAAGAACTTTAATTAAGAAAGCAACTCACAAAAGCATATATATACTAGGAATGCTTTTAGCTACCAGTAATAAAACTATCACAAGAAAACAGTTTACTAAAGAACCCCCAACACCAGAACAGTGGATCAATGTTGTGGCGAAGATTTATATAATGGAAAAGATCACCTTTTCTCTTAGGTTACAAGTGGAAAGGTTTAGCAAATACTGGCAAGCCTGGATTGGGTTTGTAGCCCCACTGACACCTGATTTTGTTCTGTGAAAGAGGAAGAAGCAGCCTTTTTTTTCGAGATTGCTGGCTATTTGTTGTGTTTTTCCTGACTATATTTCTAAATGTAAGCTCTCATCTCTGCTGGAGTAATGTAAATAGTTATTTTGATAAACCAAAAATACATCATATAACCGAACACAAAAGATGAAAGCAGTAAATTCTTCTTATTTTGTATTATGTTGTATTTGTAGATCCGTTCATCGTGAAATAAAAAACTTAAAAACAAAGAATGGACCTTGCCAAACCCAAGGACACTGTGTTTACAGTAGTGATAAAGAAAAAGCCAAACATCATACAATAAAAAGGAAAAGAAAAAAACAGCATACAGTATAAGAGAGAAGGCAGGGCAATCAGACATGGGCTCTGGCAAAAAGGTGAGTTTTCAGTTTACATATGAAAAGACACGGTCACCCTATGTCCAAGGTATCGTCCTATATCCTTATCTAGGATTGTGATTTCCACTTAGAAGCTGGTGAAATCACATGGCTGGATGGGACCTGAGTAATGGCACTAGGCAGAACAAGAGTGCCCTAAAGCAACAGTGCACAAGTGGCAGAGTGTGAGCAGGGCTTTCTGCGAAACAGAGACTCATCTGACTTCACAGGAGTTTGCAGACTTGTAATCACATCTGTAAGAGATAAACGATTCCTCCATCTGGTGCCTTCTTAAAAGGCACCATAACGCTTGCAACACATCACAAGATGAAAGGCTTCAACAGGTGGACACGTTGGAGCACCATGTCAGTAGGAGGTCATTTGCCCTGCACAAAATATCAGTCGTAGTTTTAAAGGCAAGTCTTAAACAACTGTTAATTCCAAACAGGACACGTGTATACAGTGATAAAAAAATTCCAATTTTAAAGTGTTGTTCTTTCTAATGGGTCCAGGATCTGTATACGCCAAGGCACTGTGCAATACATGAAAACCTAAAGGAACAGGCTTTAAAGGAACTTTTTAAACAGATAAAGCTTCAGTGCTAGGTTCCACAATGGCAACAGGAAATACTACAGCCATTCATATTTGTTAAATAAATTACAGGAATGGAGCAGTCAGTGACTATACAGCAGATGTTGACACGGATACACAAAACTAAAAAGATGCTCTTTGGTCAGAGTCTGACCAAGTGCAAAGCATCCTGTTTTAAATTATGACTTGTGGTTTCCTGGGCAGAATCACAAAGACCCACAGCATTGCTAAATGAAAAAATAAACAGCATACTGGTGCACTCAAATATGAGTAAAGAATCCAGTAAACTGCATACCAAGTATTTTATGTATATAAAGGATAAAAACTTACACAAATAGCTTTACATTGGAAGGAGTATGCCATAAAAGTTCAAATCATATTGACTGTCTATTAAAACACGCATTTCATTATTCAAAAAGGTATTCTGACAACCTAAATAATGCGAACATTACGACTTCTGTGGTTTAACCTAAAATACGAAAAAAAGAACTTGTCAGAAGTCAAGTCTTATTCGACTTTACATAAGTGAAAACAAAACTGCAGTGTAGGTTTGTCCGCAACATTCTTCTCTCCATTCAGACATAAGTTAAGTATGTCACAAAATTAGGGAACTCTTTTAAAAATAAAGAGCTGTTAAGCCGTCCTTCTTTGTAGTTTCATAAAATACCTTTGGGAGAAACTGGGAGACTGTATTCTCAACTTTGAAGTCTTTTTTTCACCCTGCAGCACAACCACCTAAAGGTCACAAACCATATGACAGCAGTGACTGAAAAGAATGCCAAAGGCTTGTGGAAGGAAACTATCCCAGCAACCTATCATTAGCCTTTTCAAGTACAGTAATAGCTGCCTTCTGAGCCTGTCCTGTAATTTCACTTCTAACAAATCACGAGAAGGCTTTGAGTGTCATGAACTAAATAACGAAGAAAAGAAACATACATGGCAAAACACAGAAAATAATTTTCCCCCACCAAGTCCAAATGCACTGATTTAAAAAATATACTGCGTATTTGAACATTTTATTGAAAGTGTTGTGTATCAATTAACAATGTGCTTATTTAAGATGCCATTTAAGGTTTCAAGGTGCAAGAAACTAGAAATGTGTCCACCTGCACCTGCAATAAGAAGCAAAAAAACCCCTGAAACTGTGCTCCAGTGACATCAATCAACCCTTTTTATTAGACTTTGGTACATTAACAACAAGTTCTGAAATTGACAATAGCCAAAGCACCTAATGTTGTACGACTACGTCTGTTTCGTATTAATTTCTGCAGGAATCCTTTTTGTTTCTGTGAACTGAAATAAGCTGCCATGCTGTATATAATTCTCTGGCTCTTTTGACAAAAAGATCATCAGCATTGCACTTTTGTCTTCGCATATGTGGCTTTCTTAAACACTGTCATGCCTGCTAAAAAAGTAATACTGTGAAACTAGATCCAATATTGTCAACTGAAGTGCAGAAACTCAAATGATGAATCTGTATATAATTCTCTGTGGCTCTTTTGACAAAAAGATCCTCAGCATTGCACTTTTGTCTTCGCATATGTGGCTTTCTTAAACACTGTCATGCCTGCTAAAAAAGTAATACTGTGAAACTAGATCCAATATTGTCAACTGAAGTGCAGAAACTCAAATGATGAATCATCCAACTCAAGATGGTGGTAAATGAAGAAAACTATTTTCCCTATTTTAACTATGGAACCTTTAAAAATACTGATCTTTGGTAGACTACAATAATAACACTATCTATGAAAACAGAATATATTGTTTCATTTATAAGATAGAAGATATTTAATAATACTACAATATGATCATATTAATACACAACAGAATACATATCAGTGTCATTCTGATATGAATGTGCTGGGTGATAAGTGAAACTAAAAATTTAACTAAGGTTAGAACTCCACTTTCTTTTTTTTTTCTATGAAGACGACTATTAAAGATGCATAAATGGTATAGATTCCCCTTCACAAATTCTCCTGATCTGTATTTCTTCACAAAGGCGTTTTTTTTCTTTCATTGTTTTGCTCCATTCCTCATGTACAGCGTGTGTGGTGGTTAACACATATCACTTCTGTTCCGCCAACTAAAATGTGAGCTGTCAAGAATTGTTAATGTCCACTGTGGACACTGCCGCCATTTAGTACATGACTTGAAGCTACAAAATCCAAACAAAATATTGTATCCACTCACAGCTGACTACTGACTCTGCCCTTTATCATGCAATGAAACAAAACATCTTCATCTTGAGGGATATGACGATACCTGATGTATGTCTTGCATTATTGTACTATTATTGGGGCGGTGCGGTGGCTCTGTGGCTAAGGATCTGCGCCTGTGGTTGGAAGGTTGCCAGTTCGTATCCTGCAGCCAGCAGAGGAATCCTACTCCGTTGGGCCCCTGAGCAAGGCGCTTAACCCCAGCTGCTCCAGGGGCGCCGAATAAGTGACTGACCCTGCACTCTGACCCCCAGCTTCTCTCCTTGTCTGTGTGTCTCATGGAGAGCAATTTGGGGTATGCAAAAAGACAAATTCCTAATACAAGAAATTGTATATGGCCAATAAAGTGATCTTATCTATAACTCATAACGCCACCCACTGTATTAAGCTAATTTATCCTTTAACAAAACTTTAACAAAAGATGAATGACTGTAGTTGAATCAATACAGAAAATGCTGTCCATTTTTTATTTAATTATCACCTTCCATACGATACAAAGAGATGCTGCACAAAAACAACCTGCAGGCAAATTCAACAGTGAATGAAGGAACGAGCCGAGGCGAAAGGAGTGAAAATAAAACCACCTCTGTATAACAGCAGTGGTGGTCAGACAATGTCGCACGTCAGTAATTAATTCAAGTTTGTAGAACTGCAGTCTTCCATTTCAGTACAAGCATAGCCTAACAAAGATGCAGTGACTGTACTGACAAGAGTACAGCATGACAACCCTATCATTTATTCAGTTTAGAGAGACTGTAAAAGCCACAAATACAAAGAAAAAGGCCTGCTTTTCCAGGGCAGAGGGAGCTGATCAAATGGAGAGCGAAGGATAGGGGTGGAAACTGTATGGAAGTGCATTTAAAACTGAGAAGAGAAGGCCCTTCTTTACATGAAGAGTTGTAGAGGTATTGAACAAGGTACCCAAGTATATTCTTGAAGCTGAAGCCCTGGCTTCTTTCAACAAACAGCTGGGTGCGATCCTTGCTAGAAGCAGATCCATGATCTACTTACTACCAAACAGGCTGGACAGACTGAATAATCTTCTCTCCTTTGCACCCATTCTTATGTTCTTAAATCCAGGTGTAGTGCAGAATACCATTTTCTTGTCTGTAAATGTCTGTTTTGAAAATGTGACAAATCCTCAGATATCCAGGGTGTTCCATTATAAGAGGATCACAGCGGGCATGAGCTATTGGAAAAAGCAGGCGCACTAAACCAGTGCTGAATCATGCATGATTGTCAATTTATCACAGGTTGACATCTGCTGCAGTGCACAGTTAAGAAACTGTGGTACAGACTATGAATATGGCAAAATAGTACAAAATTAGTACAAAATAGTACAAAAAGTTTAGACATTTTTAAAGCAGGATGACTTTACCAATGATGGCACAACGGTCATCAAGTGCTACGAAGTCAGTAAGTTAACAGCCATAGAATGTGTTGTGCAGGTTTTTAAACAGCATTTTTTCTATTAACACCTTTTTCATCCTGTAATTACACGCTGAATGGGAAACTTCAGAAGATAAGGAAAAGGGGCATAATGTTTTGTACAGTCGTTTTTTTTCACCAGGAAAAACTATAGGAAATGTATTAAATTGGTAAAAAATGATAACATTAAAATGATTGCATTTGTTAAACAAATACTTACAGCAGAAGAAAATCAGCTATTTTTTGTAATGTGGTATACCTCTTAACATCTTCATCCAATTGAAATAAGGGATGATCAGAACATCAAAAAAGTATAACATTAATTGCAGTGCTGCTTTGTTTTCCCGCTACAAAACTGTAATACTGTAAATCTAAGCTACCCAGCAGACTAAGTCCAGAATTGGTCACAGAAGTCCTAAGAAACAAAAATCTAAAAGTGGAAGTCCTTTTACTTAAATGCTCTTAGTTCAAGAAAATGATTTACAAAAAACAAAAAGGTACAAAAATAACCACGCTATAGTTTTCCATCGTTTTTAAGTATAACTGGCCTTAAGAATCCCAGCTGCGTTACCCCGCTGTGTTGACTAAGTTACTGTCTAGTAACCTAGTAACTGTCTCTAGACAAAGAGAGACTGATTGACAGCTACATCATGAGTGCCAGGTTAAACACTCTACGATCCATCCAAGGTTCCCCTTGGTGGACTGGTGAGCCTCTATTTGAACCTGAGGTGAGCCAAGGCCCGTAGACCCGACACAAAATGGCGGAACGGATGGGAGATGAGGGGAGTATCATGGTTCCTCAATAACAGTGAGGAACCCAATATCAATGTCAACATCCATTTTCTAACCACTTCTTCCAATGGTCACGAGAGACCTGAAGCCTATCCTGGCAAGCAACTGACACCAGGCAGTTTATACCCTGAACAGGAAGCTAGTCCATCATTTTTTTCCTGTTTACAACTGTTTTTTTGTGCAATATATGCTAGGGATTTGTGCAATATATTTATAATGTGCAATACAACTTTTTGTGTACTGTACTTTCGGGTCTGTTTTTGTATATTTTGTACTGTGAGCAACTCTGTGTAATCCATTTTTTACTTTTACTGCACTTCTCACTGACTGTACTGCATTGTTGTATTATCGTATCATTTTCTTACACTGTGCTGTGTTGACTGTGCTAAGCTGCCGTTGCACTGCAATTTCCCCCACTGGATCAATAAAGTATCTCTCATCTCAGGGCACACACCCAGAAGCCAATCAACCTACCAGTATGACTTTGGACTGAGGGAAGAAACCAGTTCCCAGAAGAAACAAACACAAACACAGGGAGAACATACAAACTCCACACACACAGCAACCCCAAATCTGGAATTGAACCCAGGGCCCCAGCACTGTAAAGCAGCAATTGTACCTAAACAATGAAAACACTCAATACTTAAATGAGTCCTTAAATGTCCTTTCCTTTACAATTACAATTCATGGATGACGACAAACAGGTCTTGCGTAAGTACCTCCTCACCCTCATATCAATGCTATTTTAAATATTTACAAAAGGTCTACATTTTGAAATAGGTTACCAAATCACCATTAAATGTTTTATTTTTAAATATAAGACTTGATAACATAAAAGAAAATTTCTGGACAAAGAGGTGGGCATTAATTTCAGTCTACTACCTGTGCATAAATCTGCATTTCATTTAAGCGTTTGTGACGCCTGTATGACACAAGCGTGAATCTCCCTCAATATTATATGCACCCTGACAGCTGCAATTAAACGAAGAGAATTAACTATTGATTGGTACTTTAACTGACTTGCGACTTCAAGGTCATAGATCTGTTGATGCAAACCTTTCGACACCACAGATTTACAGCTCAGTCTTCTGTGTTTTTTTTAGACGTGAAACAAAATGTACAGATCAGAGTTCTTGGCACCTATAAATTGGGGTGTATGATTATACAGCCTTGAAAGCTTAGATATTTTAACTGCAAAAAGTGTATTTTATCTTAAGACTTTGGGCCCACCAGCATAACATCTGCATTAAAAACAAACAAAATTTAAAGTGTTTTTGTAGCATTCATCCTATATGTATGAACCATTATTTCCTGTCATTAACAGCTGATAACTGATAACATGTCACAAGAGAAGAAAAGAAACACAACGTTTTGGCTGTGGAGCCTACTTTGTTTCTAAATATTGTATTTTCCTAACATACGCAGTGGATTAGATTAGGAACTCATCTCAGGTACTGTATTTAGCAGTACAAAAAAGCTGTCTGATAGCTCAGAAGATTTAATTTCACATGCTATCGCATAGACTTTTCACATTCAGAATTAGAACAAATAAAATCCCCCAAAACTTACTGTATACAGTTCATTCAGGACCTTCATCAAATCCTCCTGGAGCTGAAATGTTATCTCTTTGCTCTGGAAAACAAAAAAAGAAGGCATCAGTACAAAGGAACGCAGTGAGTTTTAGAGACTTGAAACATTTCATGGTAAAGTAATGTTACTAATTTACAACTCATTCACACCCAACTACAAATGCATTTTTAAGAAATGTTTCCGAGAACTCACAATGTAATTTTTAATGTGCACAGAAATGCAATACCAGCATAAAAACACAACGTTATGTGCAAGCCATGCTTCCGGAGAGTTAACCATTTCTCACTTAAGCATGGGCAGCAACAACAAGAGCATGTCCTTGAATTAATTACATTGTACAACAAAATGTAGCCTGGATGAATTCATTTGCACTTACAGGATCATTATAATCTGAAGTGTGACTTCTTTAAACAGCAGAACAAAGTACATGATAAAACAGTACTTTGTAGGCTACATCTCCAACCTGCTCTCAGTATTTTATTTTTTTTTTAGAAAATTAAGGGTCTTCCATCAACTACAGCCTTTCAACGATACTTTTTGTGGTGCTTTGTAACTATCATTATGATAAGAGGTCTTTTTCAACCTTTACCAAATTAAATGGATTACCAGAGTTATTGTCTAGTCTCAAACAGCACTCAAAGGCTCCTGCTAAAGTGATTATTTGAACACTAATCCAATTTTGAATTATATGCAGTTAAAAAACCTAGAAACTCAATCTTAGTCTCCAATCTAAAATGGAATTAGATGGAAACTTACTTACATCAGATTATCCCTTTTAACACGTCGAATCACGTTTCTCTTAAAACAGTACTCTTTAGGTTTCCGTTTTTACGGCAATTCATAGAAATGCTAGAAAATTCGAAACGTGCAAGGGCCTAGTTAGGCCAGTTTTGAAGGACAAAACTGAGCAGTTTATCTCAAAAAGCTGGGAATGTCTCAAAAGTAATGTAACTTTGATGCTAAATTCAACTCAAAATAGTTACATCCTTCATAACGGTTATGCAAATGAAAAGTCTAGACATTCTGCTCTTCCTATCATCATGATAAGAGGGTATATGCATAATTATCCAAAAGCACTGTCACAACACTTCAGGTTAGGTTTCACAGACCCTGATGATTACCACTGATCCTGGACTACCTGATTAATTTATTTAATTTAGGTGAACAAGTCAGAGCTATTACATTTATACATAATAGCTAATCCAGCTCAAGATAAAAACCGGTTTGCATCTATCCACTTTGTTTCCATTTTAAAAACCCATATTAAAATCATTTCAACTTGATTAATTTATCTTAGATACATGCATATGTATAGTATACTTGCCAGACATACCCAGTGGTCCAAAAACAAAATGTAAATACAAATATCAAATTATAAACCAGAAGGTGGACAATAGGGACAAAAACAAAAAACGTCATTTGAAAAACAAAAGAATTCAAACTCTTAGAGGACAAGACTACACTATGCCACTGTGCCAGGACTATAGTTAGTTGTAGTTAGTTTCACACCGGGAGCTTGACACGCAAAACTATGTTTCAGAGAACCTTATCATCCATTTTCACCTTTTCTGGTTAAACGAAAAATGATGTTTTCCAGGAGACAGAGCAAATAAATTCACCACCCTTAAGAGACGAGCTGCCAGTGACATTTCGTGGCATGGTGTCATGCTTTTCAGCTTGCTGTAGGCATTACAAACACTAACAAAGGCTCTTGGTTTAAACAACATGTAAATTCAGAAATGCGAAAACTTGCATCAAAAAAGAGCAAACTTGCACTGGTCCGCAAGAGCATCGCCTCATTCCAGCATACTGCCCATTGTCAATTCAGAGAATTCTGGCCCCAAATACTCGATAGGCCAATATGTTAAAACAGAAAATGAGTACAGCAGACAGCAATAAGATCTTTTTACTCATGTCTGGGAAGAATTGTGGGACCTAAAAGTAGAAATAGGTATTCCGAAATGGGGGGTGAAAATGATCGAAACAAGACTGGACATAGCATTATAAGGTTCACTTCTAATTGCTACCTAACTGCCACAAAATGTAAATAATTAGAAAAAGTCATAGAAATATTCTCCGCTGCTTTAGGGGCAACATTTTACCACTACATAGCTCGCTTTTCCTGTAAATAGTACTACTGATCTAACCTCAAAGTCGAGCTTAGTTAATTTGACTACTTACTGTACTTACTGTCATTTTAAATGGGATTATGCTGTATATACCCCTGCTTTTTATCCACATTGGGGGGAAAAATTAGGAAAGCTTCAGTTTATTTTTGAAACAGTGGAGAAAATGTGAAGTTGATGAAGCTGCAGGTTCCAGTGGCCTAGTTCTGGCGGTCTGATATTAATGGTGCTCTTTCATCAACTGTGCTGTTGCCTCTTGAACTCCATTCTGAATTCCTTATTACGAGAGGAAAAAAGTGCAGTTGCTGACGATATGCCCTACTTACCTTTCACTAGTGCCTGTTCTACCAGCTTTAACGCTGTTCTGTTATTTTTATGAGCAATCACTATGTGCCAAACTGCAAGGTCAGAGAATTGTAATCTTACAAATGGCTCTGTTATGTGGAACTCCAGCACGGACACAAGTGCTTTCTGTTTATTTTGGGATATGTGTACTGTATAACAGCAGTTGTGTGCTCTTGCTTTGTTTTAGACAGAGACAAAAAAGGCTGAACCACATAGATGTTAATTGAAACAAAATTCTAAATTGTGAATGGGATTAACAATATTGTCTTGGCGCTGCTTTCCTTTGGATCCATCCTTAAGAAACATTAGTCATTCTTACATAATGACATCCCTCAGAACAAACCTTTGTTTTCTTTTAAAGTACAGTATATGAACTGTTGAAATGTCTAATAATTAATATCTGACGAACTGGGATCTGGCTAATACTATCCAATAAGACAGCTTCCCCAATTTTTTAGAATAATCTCATTTCTTAGTTGTGTATCCAATCTACATTGGTTTCAAATGATTCTACTGTATTGTTCTTTATTTCTGAATGTGTGCTTTTACATTTTTTTTTTAAATGACAGGTTATGACAAAAACAGAAGGAGACTTAAACGATTTTTAAAAGATTAAATCTGCCTTTTTGATGTTACTGAATGTCTACACACCTAACGCCGGTTAAGACCTGATAAGCAGCAAATTAAAATCAAATAGGAAACTAAAATTCCAGCAAATGGAATTCACAAATGACACAATCATTCCTCCTGAAAGTAATTTATAACTGTAAAGAATTAGTCAAGGTCCATGCATAAGTGATCACTCATTCAGTTTTGAGCTGAATGTGAAATTATTTTTAGTTATCCCCCATGTTTCATAACCATTCAATAGTAGTGTTTGAGGGGAATAGTCATTGGGCATGTGGATAGATATAAATACCGTCATCTCTAAGAGATCCCAGCCTATATCCATCCATCCACTTTCTAAACCTTTTATCCAACACAGGTTCATGGGTGAGCCGAAGCCTATCCTGGCAAGTAACAGGCACAAGACAGGATACACCCTGGACAGGGAGCCAGTTCATCTCAGGGCACACAGACACAAACACACACTCACACCAGGGTTAATTTTCCCAGAAGCCACTTAACCTACCAGTGTGTCTTTGGACCGTGGGAGAAAACCGGAGCACCCAGAGGAAACCCATACAAACACGGGGGAAGTGGGAGAACATGCAAACTCCACACAGATGGTACCCCAGAAACTGAACCCAGGACCACAGTGCTGCGGGGCAGGTTTCCACTCTGCCACCATGGTGCCCCAACCTATATCCAACATGTTCCAAATGCTGCTACAGCGATTAGCCCTGCTGCTTTATACAATAGTTCTTGGGACCTGGGATTAATTTTAGCCACAGGCATCTGTCTATGAGGAGCCTGCATGATTTCTCAAATGTCCACTTGGATTTTTGCCTGGAGCTCCTCCCACCACCCAAAAAATGTGTGGTGTCTGAAATGTCCCCCTTCTGGAGGAAGCAAGAGTGATCAACATTGGTTATGTGGCAAAGCATAACGAAACAAGTACTGTATAATGACCCAATTAGCCGTTTCTAATTAATAGTTGCTCTTATGTTCTGAAAGCATTTTACAGATTATATAATGTTCTGTGGAAATATTTTTACCACTTTGCTGCTACAGTACATTATTTTAATGCATTAGTTGTTTTCGCACTAGAAAAATGCAGTTCTGATTTATCGACGATTCCGTTTTTCTGCACAGTACTGTTTATTCCCAATAAACATTACTGAACAGAGTTAGAAAAACATCCTTAAATTTTGACTAAAAGGTCACATAGCACTTTCTGAGAGATTATGGGCATTAACTACAAAATTCTGGCTAAATTCAAGTGAGGGTGTGTACAATTGAGCTTACCATACAAATACCAGATCTGTAAGAATAAAAAGCACTAAATACATTACTACTGACAATGCTGTAGTTAAATTGCCCTAGGTTATCTTCTGGAGCCTGAATGAGTTGAAATTTAATCCATCTAATTTTTGTTAGAGCATGTCAGTGAAGTCACTGCTATTAGGGAAGGCATCCCTGCCCATATTTTTATCAACACCACAGAATACCAAACAGTAATTACTAAATAAATCAAATAGAATGCACATTCTTGCTGAATGAACACCTTTTTTACAGAATATTCTCAATTTCTCATAGCTACAAAAAAATCTGAAAACTGTAGTCTATCTGTGCTTATCATCTCGCTGTGTCAAACTCAAGGCGTTCTTCAGCATTAACCCTATCCCAATCCAACAGACTTAATAATAACCTGAGCAACTTTGGGCTTTTGTACTCATTCCTAACTTCCACACAGAACACGTAGCCTAAAGACTGATTAAGCTTCTCAGACTGACATGCAGACCAGTGCAGGCAGGGTGACTAAGAAGAGGCCTTTGTTTTCTTCATAAATATTTAGAGCGTACTCCTTATGGTCTGCACATCTAATTTAAAAGAGACTGAAGCCAGTGCATCACTGATACTTTTACAGTAACTACATCATTTCCAGACTGAGACCACTTTCTAGAGACT